TTCTTTCTTTCTTTCTTTCTTTTTGCTCCCTTAATTAATTCTACATTGTTTATAGTTACATTGAAATTAATTCCCCCCCCCCCCCCCCCAAATTACTGAACAAATTTCATTCTACTTTAAAGAACCCATTATTTCAAATTTTCCTATCACACTTTAACAAGCCATGTTGTTGTTCCTAGAGTATCCTAAATAGAAGGAGGGCCCCAGCCAAAATTTTTACACAGGACAAAATATTTTAGTGATAATTGTGTTCTGCATAAACTCATGCTGTTATAGACTTAAACTGCTTTCCTCTGCTGTCTTCAGTCTCTTTGTACGCACACATTTCTCAATTGTTGCATTTTTTCTTTGATTTATATATTTTTAATTATTTTCGACTGTTTGACTTCAGACATCTGCCTCAAACGACTGTTGATACTAGGCTAGGTTTCTTCCTAAAAATTGGAGTTCCTTCCCACTGTTTCCTTGCTTATAATAAAGGGTTTCCAGTCTAATCTGCGTAGATGGACGTTTTACAGTTATCTGTCTGCATTGGATACAGTCAAACTATGTATAATAACTCAAAATCAGACCTTTTTATGTAGAACTATATCTGAATAAAATGCCAAGTTTTTGGCTAAACTAAACATCAGTCTGATTTTGTCTTCTTTATTTTGAGATTCTTCTGTTGTGATTTGTTTTGAATTAATGTGTAGACTTTGACGACTGTTGAGTCTAACTATGTCTTTTAATGTAAATAGATCCAATGTCATTTTTTTTAACAGGAAACACATACGCGTGTATTGTAGAATAACTGTATTCTATAATTCGGCTTCATTTAATTGTTAGTTTTTTTTCTCGCGCGCGTTTGAGCCTTACGGCGCACCGTAGCAGTGATGTGGCTCAGGAAGCTACCTTCCACGTCAGAAGGAAGAAGGGGAGAGCGGACAGGGACAGCTCACCACCGAGAGCTCTTCGGTATTTTCTACAGGTAAATACCTGCAGTTAGACATTGAAGAATTGTATGTGTGTCACAGACAAACTATTGAGCTTATTTTCATCAACATTCGCGATGTTTTTTTTTTTTTTTATTCAGAACAACGGTAACATATAAATACAGCAAGCTAACGTTAACGTCCTCCATTTCAATCCTGGATGAAAGCTAACCTGCTGTTAGCTAACACTGGTTTCAGAGTCGAGTGTTTTGAATCCATTCATAGTCCTAATATCTATGTTACCAAACAAAAAATTTAATGCTTTAACTCATTGTTCAGCTGTTTGTTTTGACGCATACAAAGCTGCTAAGGCAGAATTTTACGCTATAACTTAAGCTGCTTTTGCTAATAGATTCTAAACAGCTTTGTACTTTCTCCTGTTGTTATAAGATAAGGTGACATAGTGATTGAGCAAACATAATTAATAAAAGCAAAATGTATAGATGTATTGTAACAATGCTCGAATGTAACACATGAGTAAATAAAGAATAAAGCAATATTGAGCAAAAAACGTGGGCATCTAAGTATTAACGTCAAAGATACAATATGTAAAAGCATCCTAATGCAACGGAAAATATATTTGACTACGGTGCACAGTTTGTCCAAATGAATTAGTAGTTAAACTTTTATTTTACCAGTAGCAAATTATATTAACGTAAATAAGATTCTAAAGATTCAATTGGCTTTCTTGCAAGATGTTAGATAAATTTGTTCTTCATGTGAGGCTTTTACAGTAAAATACTTTTTCTTTTGTTAATTTCTTAACATTTGTTTTTAAAATGTTTAAACATGATAACATTTTAATTATTTGTAAGGTCACATCAGGTCTTTTACAACTCAGGGAGACCTAGAAAATAGTTTAAAACAGCAAAATAAGCAATTTCATATTTAAATATTACCGTTTACTGCATCTTTTATATACTTTCAAATATACCTGTGTCAGCTATCTTTTTGGAGTTTAATTCTATAGTTATTTATGTTTGCACACTTTTTTTGGAAAAATACCTGTATTTCCAAACGGCACGTACTTAGCTGCGTGAAGCTGACACCCCACCCACGTCAAAAAACTCTGCAAATAGACTGAATGGTTAGTGCAACGTTAGTGCAGATTTGTGCAGAAAAAAATATCGTTTGTGCTACTTTTGTTTAAGAGATATTAAAGATTATTTTTTAGGTCATCCAGAGGTCACCATCCCCCCATTAAACTCCAATTTGAACCAAAGTGGTCTCATTTTTTAGTGCTTCGTTTGTGCTGATTTGTGCAGTTAAAACGGTCATTTGTGCTATTTTAGTTTTTAAGATATAATCATTTTAATTTTTGGCTGATGACGTCACCATCCCCCCATCAAGCTCCGATTTGAACCAAAGTGGTCTCATTTTTTAGTGCTTCGTTTGTGCTGATTTGTGCAGTTAAAACGGTCATTTGTGCTATTTTAGTTTTTAAGATATAATCATTTTAATTTTTGGCTGATGACGTCACCATCCCCCCATCAAGCTCCGATTTGAACCAAAGTGGTCTCATTTTT